TGGATACATGTATATTTTCACTCTGGAAGTCGTACGAAATGAGATAATTTACCAAATTAAATGTGCAAAAACAGTGAAGGGGAAAAAGGTAAATTTTACATAATATTCCTTTCGGTCGCCGAGGAATGGTGATTCTTTCCATTCAAATCCCTCTCAAGTAGCCTTAATACTTAATTATACTGAAACGATTCATAACAGCAAACGTTGTGTATATATTTTAAAAAAGTGGTGTCGGTGGCCTCGTGGTTAGGCTACCGGATTCGTAATCGTGAGATTGCGGGTTCGGGGATTCGAGCCTCAGCAGCTCTGTCCGACCTTGTATCCTTGGGAAAGGCGCATTACACGAATTTCCCTCTTGGCTTGGTCCTTTCAGAGAAGGGCGTTATACTCTGAAGTCCCGCCTTTTAAAAATACCTAACAGTGTTGATAGGGGCGTTAAATCTATACCATTTCACCATCGTATAAGAAAAAATAGGAATAGGGAGATTTTAAAAAGAGGGCGGTTTCAGGAGCGCATTCCATTAAAAAGCTATATGGAGGGTTTTTTTTTTTGTGCTGCTCGATCTACGATGCTCAGAACTGTGCCCGCTCTCCGTGTCCGACTTGCCTCAATTTCGCGTCACGTTCGGCTTTGAAGTCAAATTAATTCGAACCAAACATAATGTATTATTCATTGTCTCCAGCTTTTATTTTATTATTATTTTAAAAAAATTATAAACTTGGTCTATTCTTTAAAAAATTCCGAGTGCTGGCTGGTATGCTGGTGCTTTGGTGTGGTTTGCTCAGGTTCCTTCCTATTAAATATATATTTCCGTTATCTCTCCTCCTTCTTTGTGTATGATCCTCTCTTGTACTTTTTACTTTTATTTTTTTCATCCTCTATGGACGTTAAGTTTCGAAGGGAGATGAAGTTTTCTAAGGTACGATAGCTCTGCAGCTCTTTCACTTGGGATATTACAATAGGGTTTCCTTGACTCCCTCTATTCATCTTTTATCCAGTCTACCTCTTCCTTTACTTTATAGCCTGAGTACTTGGTGTTATAGGCGTTCGAGGTGGCTGGCTAGGTGACATTCGTAACACGTCTCTAGTAACACCTCGCTAGTCTTTGGCGCTTATCATGACCACCTTATATTGTGCTGCAAGGGCGGTAAAACTCTTTCTAAGACTTAAAAAAAAAAACCGTCTGCCCGTTGGAACTTATGTTTTGTGAGAGGCAACGTTTCCAGAAACTGTTGCGTTACAGGAGGGAGACACGTGAACGGTAAGGATTGCATGGGTTTATTTCATTGCGAAAGATTTCCCCC